CATGCAGTTGCAATGTAACCTTTATTTAATCAACTAAACTCGTTAATGGGACCTTTATAATTAAGAGATACCAACATGCTTTCCTGTCAGATTATAAGTCAATCTGTTGTCTTCAGATATGCTGGTGTCATGCTGAAGTATTATAATTCCATATGGGCTCCAGCACAGATATACACTAATGAAGGGTGTAGGTGAAGTGTTGTTGACCGTAATCTTGCTTTAGACATGTTGTATTGGTCTCGGCACATGCTTTCTCAAGCAGCAGTTCAGTGCTCCCTTAGTGCAACTAATGTTGAGTGTGTAAAGTGACCTTTTGACCTCACGATGACCCCATCCTGCCCTCTCCTTGCTCATGGAGATATTCAGCTGTATATGTAGCTGGTGTTTACATTAGTTTACAGTTTATTTGAGGCTGATTTGGGTTACATTTTTGTCTTAATTTAATTTTCCATCTGCTAACAAGCCCAGAATCAGCTGTTTTTTATTGAAAAGATTAACAGTTTATGCTTGGAATTAAAAAAATGACAATTCAATGTTTGTGTTTTCTGTTGCAAACATTTGTAAACATTGCTATTACCGTTGGAGGGATAGTACACCCAAATATTAAAATTTTTTGACTCTCCCTCCGCTTGCTTCAAACCTTTAGAGTTTGAATGATGGAAAGTAGCAGCCATTGACTTCCATAGTGTTTTTTCATACTATAGAATTCAATGGTTGCTACATTCGTCACAATTTCTTGTTTTATGTTTTGTGCACTTCAGCTCATTTTGGAAGGGCACTTTATATCCAAGACTAAAAATGGCATATGCACTGCACAGGTTGTGCCCTATGTGTGCACGTGCCTGTTGCGGATGCACCCATTATCGACGATATATTGTGCAGCCCTAGTCTGGATGTTATTGTCAAGTCACAGGCGGTCAGCATTCAGGACCTCAGATAGCAGAGCGGGCAGATGCATGCGTGACCCACTCAGGAGAACCAAAGCCTGCTCACATTTCCTCCTCTTTGGAAGGACAGCTCGTTCTTGATTGAGCCAGAAGCTTTTGTGTGCTCTGCTGCTCTTGACCCAAACCTGGAGACCCGCCACCTCGCGCCATCCTTACACACACGTCACACACACACATGAAGATGATCTTTCCCCAAAATGTATGTATTTTTGAAAATATCAGGTAATTAGTGGTAGGGCTGCACAATATTTTAGCAAAATTATCGTTATGGTCTTTCAGAGGTCGCCACAGCGGATGTTATGTTTTGCACAGCAGATGCCCCTCCAGCTGCAACCCAGTATTGGGAAACACCCACACACTTATACACCATGCACAATTTCAAGGCTCATTCATATTGTTTTAAAGACTAAATGTTTGTACCTGGACAGTTTTTAGTCTGAATTAATTAGATCTGAAAAAATATTTATTACCGGTTTATTTTAATGTTGTTAAGCATAGAGGAAATCTAGGGAACTGTTATATTGTAAGAGAAATTGTCAACAACGATATTGCATATTTTTCCAGTATCGTGTAGCCGTATGGACTAAAACTACACCTAGATTACAATTTAATGGCTTGCTTACTTTTTTAATAATGTCAAATTAGTTGTGTAGCCATATTCCATTAACTCAGAAGGGTGTGTCACATTTCACACTCACATGATCCATTAGTAGTGCAAGAATGACACATCCTGACAGTAAAGCACATTGTCATGATTCACTTATAATTATGATTCACTCGCTCTTGAGTTTCATTGCAGGAACAGACACTTGGTGACGGCAGCAATAAAAAGTGGAATTTACTGGCTAATTCCTGCTCTGTAGTGAGTTTAGATGAACGAGTGAACGAGGAGCAATGTTTACTTAAAAGTGCTAAACAATGCACTGACACAATATGTTTAATTAATTGATACATAAATAGATGGTATGTGGCTTAGGTAATTTCAAAGAAATCACTATAGAAATAGTTTTACTTGTCAATTTACAACCCTTGAATGAAATGGTCTGTTTTTACCTTATTTGGAAGAGTTGTGAATATTAATGAGCGGCTCGTGTGATTGGCATACATGATTGGCTTACCCTGACATATGCCTTATGCAAAGTCACGTTAGCTAGGAGCAAGTGAGTTCACTCACAGACCGATCAGTAGGTTCTTGAATTGTGTTGTGTATAAATTATAGGATAAATTATAATTCTGTCTGAAATAATGGAATGACAGATCTAAACTCAAGGCAAGGCAAGGCAGGTTTATTTAAATAGCACATTTCATACACAGTGGCAATTCAAAGTGCTTTACATTAACAAGAATTAAAGAAACAAGTAAAATAAAAATAAAAACAAATAATAAAAATGCGTAAAAAAGCATAAAAACGGGTAAAATGTGATATAAAAGAATGAAGAAGAGAAAAACATGATAGTGCAAGAGTTTCTCAGTTTTATTTTGTAGGTTTAATGCATTTGATAGCACGGGCAGGAATTGATATCAGCCTCTGCGTAAACTGATCCTCAGAGGTGTGAACCTACACTGGTCTCATGGTTCAGTTCAGTTACGATCATCATGCCATTGATTCGGTTCAGTATGATGTCAGGGTGCATTGATGATGCTTTTCATTTTCAATTAAAGTTTACTTCAGCACAACATTTCTTGTATTAAAATGTGTAAATATATTTATATTTGTATTATTTTGTAATACAGTTTGTTCTTTTAACACAAAGTCTGATATATGACCTGTACCTTTAAAAACTCAAGTACATGCACAGAATAACATGAGAATTCATTGCAAATATAAAAATCCCGCTCCCGTAAATTGTGCACTGTTTCTGTGTTAAGTAGTTGGAGTGGTTTAATTACTTGTGCTTGTGGAAAAGACAACAGCCAGTCAGAGTCAGAATATCTGCTGATGGTTTCACTCATTCGTAGTGTTTTAAAGACTAAATGTTTTGCAGTTTGACGCTGTTTTTTTATTTATTTATTTTTTACATAAACTGTTGTTTTTATGTTCAAATTTTGCATTGTAAGAAATTTTAAAGCAATACTAATCAACAATATTGCACTTTTCCAACATGCAGCTTAAACAGCATCACATTTTCCCCCTGTTGTATCCTCTTAATTGTCATCGTGCTTTTTCAGTTATGATATATATTATATGCACATGATGTATAGTTTAAGATGCGTTTAGATGCAGATGAAAGAAGCAAGTTATTACAAATGTATTAAAACGTTCCACTTGTGGAATGGTGTCAAATAAGCCGTTCATTTGACCATTTTGCCTTTTATGCAAAACTCACTTTTATAAGGGATTTAAACACAGTTGTGTGGCAACAGTGAATAAATATCTCCAGCCTGTAATGGTAAACGTTTATTAATTGCATTTGTTCTATTCAGACTTGATAAACACAATGCTTCTAATGATTCCCTTTGTACGAGTCATCAGAAGCAAAAGCCCCTCCCACTAGTGTAGGGATGGGTAGCAAAACTTGGTGCTTTATCGGTATAGAACAATTCTACATTACAAAAGACAGAAGCATTGATAAGCTCTGACGTTAATTATTGCTGAATAAACATTATTTACAGTACCATAATTTACCTGACCAGCCTTTTCTAATTTATGATATTTTATATTCACAGTTGGTAATCTCGCATGAGAAATGCTCATGTTTTCAGCGAGTGTGTCAAGTATAAAAGTCTTTGCAGAGTGAACCGAATGGGTTGTATTTCCTGACAGCGACAGTGCCCATTGCAACAACACAAGTTGTTTTCTTGTGCAAGCGCAAACTCAAGCAATCTGGCTAAGTGGAAGTAGTTTTCATAGGTCCATTATTTGCAGTAAGACAAATGAAAAGTTTTTGCCTAGCTACTAATGGTAACGTTACACCATCCACATACTTATGCCAGAAGTCAATTGCCTAAATGAACATTGATAGTTAAATAAACACACACATTTGGTTACAATGAAAACCGCATTTTTTCTGCAGTAGCCTAAATAAATCTTAAACATTAAAAATGCTTGACATCAGCTGTATTTATGAATATAGCCTAGCCTAATAATAAACTGTTTATTAATAAATTGTATAAAAAAATATTTTACATTGCAAGATGCTCCAGAACTGTATTAAAACATGGTTAACTCATTTATGTGAATGTGTTAATGAAAAATCATGAACATTATCTCATTTAACTGCATTTTGCAACTCAAAGAGGATATTTTTAACTGCAGGGAGCTCAATAAACCAAGAAAAACCCCGACTTCTGCCAGAGAAGCCAAACATGCTGGTTTTTCTCTACATTCTTTTACAGGAAAAAATATTTATTTGTTTTACAATTATTGGTTTTATTTTATTTTACATTAAAAACGTGATCATAAAATAAAGCGTAGTTAATTCTGTTTAATCAGTTTGTCATTTTTTTCGTTAAAATAAGTACCGATAAGAGAATCGTTAATGTACTGAACCGACAAGTGGTATTGATAAAAGTAGTAATACAGTCAAAACCTTAACGATACCCATCCCGATACTAGTGACAATCTCTTTAGCATCTTCTTTTCGGCATTTCTAGCTCCACCCCCTTTTTAAAGAAAGAGCACAATCTCATTTGCATTTAAAGCGACAGTCACTAATACGCCACAATTAGTATCAAAGCCTGAAAGGGTCAGTTTCAGAGAGCTGGAGAAGATTATCTGTGTGCTAATCTCAGCTCAAACACACAAGAGAGAGACGGCAGAGACGCGTTTTACAGCTTGTAAAACAGGGCAGAATAGGTCTCTTTTAAAACAAAATGTTCAGAAGAATAAAAAATAATGTGAAAAGGATATGGGTAGTTGACATGAGCCGTAACAAGTGCAGTTAACCAGCAGTGAGATAATTCAAGCGTTGTTGATCAGGTTAAACTACTGAAGCGGGCTCCAGACTTGTTAAAGGTGAAACGCTGTGTGTGTGGTGACGTATGTCTGTGGTCAGCAGCTGTGCTTCGTCTATAATCGTCCTCCGCAGCCGGCGCGGGTACAGGAATGTGGGCTGGAAACATTCCCAGCGCATGGCTAGCGGACAGGAACTGCGTCACGCTCTGGAGAGCTTCTTTATGTAAGGGCGAGCGCTAAACACACACACTCTCCCTGACCTGCTCAGACGGTCAGAAGTGTGTGTGTTGGAGAGCACGCATCTGCCTCTCCATGCCCACATCAGAGCGTGTGTGTGTGTCCGGCGCTGCCCGGCTCGGCCTGGAGCTCACCTGACAGTCTGAGGCTGAATGTAGTTCTGTGCTATTGTTAGCAGCGCGGATGGGGAAGAGCTGCGCTTCAGCCGCTCAGATGACCAGGTATCTGACTTCGGTGTGTGTGTGTGTTGCTAGAGCTGCTTGTGTGTGTGTGTGTCTGTCTGTCTGTCACTGTGTGTGCTCCTGGAGCTTGTGTGTGTGTGTTGCTGGAGCTTACTGTGAGCCGTAAACACATTTTAAACATGCTATATTTGTAAAAGCATTTGAACTATCAGGCATGTTTGATTTGATTGTGTCTGCTTTAATTCTGTGAGAAACTTCAAGCTAGATGTTTATATTAAATGAATTATTTAATCAAAATACAGTTTGTAATTTTAGTAAAAATACACTTTAAAAGTGTAATTTATATTTGTGATATCCTTTTTTCTCAGCATAATAATAGCCAGAAGCTGACCTTGGTTAAACGCACACAAACAGTCAAACAGAGAGGCGTAATGATGGTGCTCAGTCTTCTGACACAGGAGATTACGCTCCGCATCTGTGCTCACTGTGAGGATTATGGTCTAGATGTAGTCGGAATGTTGGCTGTGCTTTCACATTTTCACGACTGTGTGTGTATGTGTACACTTAGTCTTACTGCTATTAATACAAATACATTGCTGTTGTAGTTTGTGATTGGCTGTTTTAGTTTTGTCCAGAAGGGGTGATCTTCCATTCTGCGCTGGTTTCCTCCTGCTGAAATAAGTCTATTTATTTACTTTCTAGTATTGTATAGAATATTTTTGAGATCCGGTGTTATGAAGAGGGCATTTCTGTATGCAGAAAATAATTTGAATTTGTTTATTAATCAGCAGCACGGTGGCACAGTGGGTAGCACATCCCCTCACAGCAGGAAGGTCTCTGGTTCGAGTCCCGGCTAGGTCAGTTGGTGTTTCAGTGTGGAGTTTGCATGTTCTCTCATGTTGGCGTGGGTTTCCTCCAGGTGCTCTGGTTTCCCCCACAGTCCAAACACATGCGCTATAGGGGAACTGATCAACTAATTTGGCAATAGTGAATGTGTGCAAGAGTGTGTGGGTGTTTCCCAGTGCTAGAAAGGCTTCCACTGCGTAAAAAGTCGTCCTCTATAAGTTGGCGGTTCATTCTGCTGTGATGACCCCTGATTAATAAAGGGACTAAGCTGAAAAGAAAATGAATGAGTGTTTAATAATCGAGTGTATTTTTGATTAATTTTTTAATCACAATGGGAACACAACTTCACCAGATGGCTTCAATAGCTCTATTTAGTAAGTGTTCGGGTACACAAATTTAATAATCAATTGTGTGCATGCAGTGAAGTTATTCTCAGATGTTTAGACGGTGCCAAAGACTCTTATTTCTATGGAGTGTTCCAGTAAATACCTCTGGTGTGTGCGTGTTGGATAGTAGGTCATTCACATCGACCATGTTGTTTGTCTTGATTCATGATGGTGTGATCAGTGTCTGGATGAGTGCAGTGTTCAGCAATGTGAGCTGTAAGCAGCCTCGCTTGCCATCTTTCTTCACCTGCGCTGAGGGAGAGCACAGAAATAACCATGCGCTCGCTGCCTGTATCCATGCTGACCCAAATGATGGCCCTGTGTTTGGGGTTTAAAGATCTGTGATTGGCCCTGTCTGCGTTTGGGGTTTAAGAGTTGTGATTGGCCCTTTGTTTGGGGTTTAAAGAGCTGTGATTGGCCCTGTGTTTGAGGTTTAAAGTGCTGTGATTGGCCCTGTCTGCGTTTGGGGTTTAAGAGTTGTGATTGGCCCTTTGTTTGGGGTTTAAAGAGCTGTGATTGGCCCTGTGTTTGAGGTTTAAAGTGCTGTGATTGGCCCTGTGTTTGAGGTTTAAAGAGCTGTGATTGGCCCTGTCTGCATTTGGGGGTAAAGAGCTGGGATTGGCCCTTTGTTTGGGGTTTAAAGAGCTGTGATTGGCCCTGTCTGTGTTTGGGGATTAAAGAGTTGTGATTGGCCCTTTGTTTGGGGTTTAAAGAGTTGTGATTGGCCCTGTGTTTAGGGTTTAAAGAGCTGTGATTGGCCCTGTGTTTGTAGTGTTAAGAGCTGTGATTGGCCCTGTGTTTGGGGTTTAAAGAGCTGTGATTGGCCCTGTGTTTGGGGTTTAAAGAGCTGTGATTGGCCCTGTGTTTGAGGTTTAAAGAGCTGTGATTGGCCCTGTCTGCGTTTGGGATAAAAAGAGTTGTGATTGGCCCTGTCTGTGTTTGGGGTTTAAGAGTTGTGATTGTCCCTGTGTTTGGGGTGTAAAGAGTTGTGATTGGCTCTGTGTTTGGGGTGTAAAGAGTTGTGATTGGCTCTGTGTTTGGGGTGTAAAGAGCTGTGATGTTATAGGTGTTTTACTCTTGTGCATGTGTGTTTTCCTCAGCTGGTCGTCCCCAGAGCTGGAGCCCAGTCAGATCCGGCTGATCGTCTACCAGGACTGCGAGCGGCGTGGACGAAATGTCCTCTTTGACTCGGATGCCAGAAAGAGAAGCACAGAAGATGGCCCGGCTACAGTGAGTGTTCTCTGTGTGTGTGTGTGTGTGTGTGTGTGTGTGTGTGTGTGTGCGGGTGTGAATGTATGTATGTTAGGGCTTTTGAGACTCATCAGGAGTCGGGACATGCCTGTATAACCACATGGCTATGATTCGGGTATTACAGAAGGTGGTGAATTATCATCACACTGCTGATGTCCTTATTTCTCAAAATCTCACAGAACTGTTTTCTAGTATGTTGGGGTAGGTTCTTAGAAAATACAGTTTGTACAGTTTAAAAATTATGGACAATGTCTAATTCACAAAAAATAACATGTATGAGAGAGCCAGAGACCTTATTTATTAATTAATTAATTTATTTGTTTATTTATTTTATCCTATCATTGAATCTAATTATTATGTAAATGTCTAAACTTTATATTTTATTAGTTTTACAATAATTATTATTTAGTATTAATATCAATATTAATAATGTCAACTTTTCAGAAATAATAAATCAAAATTAAATAAGATTTTTGTTAAAACAGGCAAAATAATCATATATATATATATATATATATATTTATACAGTGCTTGTACCTGGAAACCGTGTCGTTACACTTAACAAGCAGATAATGAATCATTGGAGGATGACTTGTGTTGCCTGTTATTTGTTTTCATTTATTTGAACTTTGAATAAGAACGATATAATGAAATAATTTATTTCAAAGCAGTTCCATGTTAATAAACAGGAAACGAACTGTTGTAATGTTGCGTAGTAAATGAATGCGTTATGAAATCAGTTTGGTTCTGCTATAATGCAGAAGGCAGCAGGGACATTCAGCTCAAGGGTTTCTAAAGTGCTTTTAGACACACCAAAGCAACACCAACTCCTTCACTGCAAGAATGCTTTTCTTAAAAAAATGCTTGTTTTATTTTTAGTCTAAAATATCTACAAACTCATTAATCAAGAAGCATTTTCTAGACAAGCAACAAATATTGTCATTTTTAGAAATTAGTCAAAAGTGAGTTTTTCCTTTAAAAAAGTACAATAATCTTGTTTTCACTTTGAACATAATTTACTTTCACCTTTGTCAGATTATTTAGCTTCTTTTAATGACAATAGACTATATTTGTTGCTTGTCTACAAAATGCTTCTTGATTTGAGAATTTGTTGATATTTAGACTATAAACAAGACAAACTCTCCTTTTTTGCAGTGTCCGTGTGACAGAAATGGGGGTGAACTGTTGAGTAAATGTGGCTCAGTGGATTCACAATTCCTCTGGCCAATAAGGTGCTGTAATTTACCTTGTTAGAAAGAGGAAACACCGTTGAATGTGTGCTGTGCTGGTCTCGGTCATGAGGTGTGCATGTTTCAGCTGGTGTACAGGCTGATGAATGTGTAATGTGTGAAGGTGAGATCTGGAGATGGCTGATATGGAGCCGAGCTGCAATCACATGATGCTTTTGGCAGAGGATACTGTTTCACGAGAGAGAGACACAGACGGAGAGAGAGAGAGAAATATGTTCTTATTTGTTTGTTATTTTATTTAGATCTTTCTATTATTGTATTCCTCCACATATTTCAAGCTTTAGCAATATTGTACTTTTAGTCGTGTCATTAAAACAATTTTAAATTGAGAAAAACATTTGAGAGAGCGAGAGAGAGAGACATTATTATAAACCATCTGAATGAATGTACATTTGTGTATTGCAATTTATTTTGTTAAATTTTAATAAGACCATTTTTTTCTTTGATTTATCTTTTAAAACCTCATTTTAGTCTTTTTTTTTCCCCCTCTTATTTTCGTATGCATTATCAAAATTCTTCTAATTGTGTGGGTTTGTGTGGGTACTCAAATGCTTTTCTTCATGCGTATATTTGCATTATATTTTCACTTTAGGATTTTATTTGTTGGTAATGTAATGTGCAATGCTTTGACAAAACTTGATAAGTTATGGCAAATAAAACTTAAAGTTAATTAAACTAAGAGACACACGCACCACACACACACACACACACACACACACACACACACACACACACACACACACACAAGTTTTAATGTTATAAATGAATCCTAAAATGTTGATTGTTAAATGCTGTAGAAATATTGTTTTCATTTCATTAATCACTATACTATTGTCATCTGTGTTCATCTTCTGTGCTTACTGTAAACATTACAAATACTTTGGCAATACATGTGTAACACTTGGCATGCCAATAAAGCAAGTTTGAATTGAACTGAGAGCAAGAGGTTGAGTGACAGAGGGAGACACACACACACACACACAAACACACACACACACACACACACACACACACACACACACACACACACACACACGCATGCAAACAAAGCGAGAGAGTCACTGTTTCACTGTAGAGTTAGCAAACGCTCGCTCACGAGTTGTGAAGGAAGTCATATGACTGTCTCACATGCTCCAGTGGCTTTGTGTTGTTCAGGAAGAGTGTGTGAGTGAGCCATGAGTGACACGGAGATCTGCACGCACATACACAACACTGATTAACCCTGAGCTTTCCCTCGTCTGAGCCTCGCACACACTCTCCACACACTGCACAAAACTGCATTACAATTTTCATTCTTTATTGTTGTTCCCATATCATTTTCTCCTTGTTTTAATGCAAATATCTAAACATTCCTAAATCAAGAAGCTTTTTCTGGACCAGCAACAAATATTCTCTTGTCATCAGAAATAATGAGCCAAAATGGAGTTTTACATTAAACAAGCTGAATAATCTGCCAGTGGGAAATGCAGAAGAATGTTCATTCAAAGTGAAGACCAGATTATTTAGCTTGCTTTAAGGAAAAACTCCCTTATACAGTACAAACCACTGCCAACGCAAAAGTAACTTCAAAGTACTGTAAAGTAACTAAGAAAGGCCACTGGTCACTTTTTGGAGGTGTGGAAGTAACTCAATATTGTAATGCACTGTCGCCTTAGCAAGAAGGTCGCTGGGTCGCTGGTTCAAGCCTAAGCATAAGTTGGCGGTTCATTCCGCTGTGGCGACCCCGGATTAATAAAGGGACTAAGCCGACAAGAAAATGAATAAATGTACTATACTATACTTGGCATTAAATCTAGGCAGTAGATCTGTGAACTATCCTTTTATATTAGCTGCGTGTGTGTGTGTGTGTGTGTGTGTGTGTGTGTGTGTGTGTGTGTGTGTGTGTGTGTGTGTGTGTGTGTGTGTGTGTGTGTGTGAGGGTTTTTGACACATCAGGACACATCTGTATAACCATATGGCTATGATGCAGATATTACAGTAGATGGTGAATCTATGAGCACATTGCTGATGTCCTTATTTTCTCAAAGCCTTATAAATCACACTCTACCACAGTTTTCAGTAGGGCTGGACTATATTGGGGAAAAAACTGACATTACATTTATAAATGGCAATAAATATCGCAGTAAATGAAAAATAATCGCAATGTCAGCAGATGACCTGAATAACTCAAAGAATTCATCATTTTAGATCAATTGGGATGAATCTGAGGGGAGTGTATCTGCATAAATGACAAGCAAAGTTAAACACAACAGAGGGAAGATGACTACGATTTATGATTTTCTGGAGAGTTGAACAATATTCAGAAGCAGAGATGATATCACTGTATGATTATAATAATAACACTTTAGTTTTAAATTAGTAAATAATTATATAATGTACAATTCAATCTTAAGCTACAGACATTTCATTTATTGTGCCCAAATGGCTTAATTCTTACAGTCAGATCTTAAAAACACATGCAAATAATACACTTTAATTACTCCTCTATGTTGTTAACTATAATGTCTGGTCAACTACAATCCCACCTACATTGTAAATCCCTGTGATGTGACTATTGCAGACATTGCGATATTGATGCTGAAAGGATATATTGCGCAGCTCTAGTTTCCAGTGAGGGTTGGGTTTTTAGATAGGGTTGGGTGTAGGCATGGTACACAAACCGGTTTTAAACTGCTATCATTTTCTGTTATACAGTTTATACAGTTTATGTCATTTTATTTCATTTTTTTAAACATGTCCTCCTGACTGTTTAGTTATTTTGGACACCTTTATCTCCACCAGAAAAAGACCCTTCACATCAAAATCTACTGGTCAGTTCATGATTCAGTAGACATCTGAGAAACGCATCTTATTCACCAATATCCAGCCTGATGTAGAGCTGAACAGTGCATCTGCTTTACTGTATATGCACAGAAGAGAGACATGTCCAAACATGCTAATTCAAGCTGTAGAGAACTCTGTGTTTCTGACACTAATGAAGACAGCAGAATATATGGATTTACTTTAGTTATTTAGCGTGATATGTTCACTGCTCCAAAATGTCAAATGTTTCTTAAGTCAAATATATTGTGTTCAATGGGGAAAAGTTGTTGTTTGTTATCCAGACATTTAAAAAGGGCATATTTTAGAGCAGCAATCACAATACTGTAAAACCGTGATGTTTTTATCCAAGGTTATCAGACCGCCAGAATCTTTTCACATTTCACGTTGTTGGAGAGTGATTAGAAAATAGTTTGTTTTTATAATGCACAATGGAAACCAATGGATTGTCCCCACAGTTCACAGAAGCAAACATGTGTATGTGTGTGTTAACAGAGGGTGTGTGGGGAAGCGCAGGTCAAGATGTTTGGGAGGTGTTGTCAGCTCAGGCCTACCGGTGGCAGCTCCAGTTCACTGGACAGCAGCTCGTCCTGTGCCTCCGAGCCCAAAGAACAAAACCGCTTCCAGGTCAGTCCCCCATCATTCAGTCTGTTTATTTCTTTTGTGCTTGTCTAATTATATTTTTATGCAGGTTTATTAGAAAGAGTTCAGAGTTTTCATTTCTTTATTGTTATAATTAAATTAAGCAGAAGGAAAGTGAGTGAGAGTGGTTGAATAATGTGCAGATATTCAGACAATTTATGTACAGTATAATTAGTGTTCTATGAGAGACCTGCAGTCGCTTTATTCACCAAACAAGTGCTTCTCATTGGATTTTGATTGTAAACTTTGGTTATTTTCTATTGTTTTGTGTTTTGTGTGCTGTCACACTCTGAGTCTTTGCATAAATCTGCAGATTTTTCATAAATGTTGCACAAAAATGGTTTGCAGATTCTGTCTGGCGTTGTCCATGCTCAAGTTTTTCTGTGAAGCCTTGAGTAAAAAATGTGGGTGTTATCTTTGAGGATGGCTTGAGATTTGATAAACAAATTAATGCAGTGGTCAAATCCTGCTTTTTTCAGCTTCGACTTTTTAAAAGAGTCAACCCTATTCTATCTAGAAAATAAAAATTCATGCTTTCATTACTTCTTCTCGGTTGGACTACTGTAACTCACTATATTTTGGGATCAGTCAGACAACTCTATCCCATTAACAGTTAGTTCAAAATGCTGTTGCAAGGCTTTTAATCGGTACCAAAAAGCATGACCACATCCCACTAGTCCTAGATTCTCTGCACTGGCTGCCTGTGCATATCGACTCATTTTTTAAATGCTTCTCTTGGTTTTTAAACCACTAAATGGCCTGGCTCCTCTTTACCTGTCAGACCTGTTGGCTGAACATCAGCCTGTACGGTCTCTTCGCTTATCAAAGCAGAGACTATTATACATCCCAAAGTCGAGGCTGAAATGCAGGGTTGATTGTGCTTTCGCAATAGCTGGTCCTACCTTGTGGAATGCTCTGCCCCTCTGTATTCGATCTAAATCTAGGTTGAAAACTTACCTTTTTGATTTGGCATCATATCAGTGTGAATTGTTTGTTTTAGCTATAATAATTATCAGGGAGAATTGTTTGTTTAATTCTTTGTGATTTTTGTATTGTGCAGCACATTGGTCAAACTTTAGTTGTGTTTAATAGTGCTATATAAGTAAAATAGACATACTTCACTGGACTGATGTGAAGTTTATAAAGTGTTTGAGAAGGGCTGAACCATGCTGACACAATTCTGTCCTCATAAGTTCAACGATTTAGTGGATAAGTGAATGATTTTCTCTTTTTTGTAGTCTTCAGTTCAGAGCAATAGCTGTTTCCATCCAAAAATGCAAATAAACTTTATGCTCAAAACCGGATTATCGTATGAAAGACGTGCGAGTAAGGCAGCGTTTCCATCCGACGAGTCAAAGCGAACAAAATCATCACTTCCTAATTTAAATGGCGCCAAATATCAACAGTAAAAACTGAATTTGCAGCAGTTGGAGAAGCTGTGTCAATCTTTTCTTCATCTAATAAATGACTTGCGCCTCAGAAGGCAATCCTGACACGAAGTGAACGCGCGGTGGCGTTTGAAGGTGTCAGACATGGAGCACAGACGCTCTTGATCCATAGGTCATTAATGGTATAGCACTAATACTGAAACAGTTAGGCATTTTAGAATGACCAAAACAACATTTCAGAAGGTTTACAGTGTGCTTAGCCTGCTGGTTTATCCATCCGCACATATTTTCATCATCACATGATCATCACATGACTATATCATATAGAAATGGAAAACAAAAACACTGAGCCCTGCATTTGTGTTTCCGCTGAGTGAGCGACACTGGAAAATGATTCCAGACTGCCATTTCTGCACATTTATGATGCTTTTATGTGTGTGTGTGTCTCTGTCTGTCTGTCTGTGTGTGTGTGTGTGTGTCCTCCGCAGGCCTCATCGCGGTGCTCGTCAGATGCTAACATGCTTGGAGAAATGATGTTCGGCTCTGTGGCCATGAGCTACAAGGGTTCAACGCTGAAGATCCACCAGATAAGGTGAGACTGAAGGCACAGCGGTCAGAATTAACCATGCAAAAATCTGAAAGAGCCACGAAGAAATGGACATATGATAAAGTATAGTTAACTCTATGCTATAACAATATAAAAGATCTAATAATACAATAATGAATGAAACGTGAACATAATAAAAGTCTCCATGATTTGAGATGAAAGTCAGCCACAGAGGTGCTGCAGGATTCAGCATAAGCAGTCGCTGATGTAAATGCAGTATTACTTTTACTCTTTTAATCTAAGGATTTTACACTCAGAAGAACAACATTTCAGATCTTGTAAAGCTGCAATCCAACATTAATGTGAAGCCCTGAATCACACATGTATATCTGTGAAATCATCGGTCAAACTAAACCACATCATGCAGACGATTTTACTCTAAATAGTGCATTAAAATATGGGGATGGAAATATGGCTATTGAAGTACCTGTTCTGATCATGTGTGTGTTTCAGATCTCCTCCTCAGATGATGCTCAGTAAGGTGTTTACAGCCAGAACGGGCGGCAGTGTGTGTGGCAGTCTGAACACGTAAGCGCTGCACATACACTCATGCTCTGATGCTCATTAATAATGACCCTAATTGACGCTGCTTATCTGACAGTCTGCAGGACAGCCTGGAGTTCATCAATCAGGACTCCAGCACCCTCCGGCCCGAGCAGAACCACACCGCAGCCAACGGCTTCCTGGGCAGCATAGGTAACACGCATGCACTCGTACACTGATCCTGATTATATATACACACACACACTCACACTAAATATCTTGATTACACACATACTGATGATACTGATTTTAAACCTACACGCAGACACCAAGGAAAAATTTACCATAGTGTGTGAATGAGTGTGTATGGACTTTTCCCAGACCATTATTGAACCTAATTAAACACACACACACACACACACACACACCGATGGTACTGATTAGATATACACCATTTATTCAGATTACACACACATTATTGATCCTGATGACGCACACCCCGACCGATGATCCAGATCTCACACACACACACACACACACCAATGATCCAGATTTTACTTACACGCACAAACAATAATGATCCTGATTACACACACATTATCATCGATTCTGATTACACATACACACACTAATGGTCCTGATTACACACATACCCTGACCAATGATCTGTAGTTTTTATTTTATTTTATTTTTTTTATACACACAAACACACACACACCGATGGTCTTGATTACACCCAAACACACACACGCACGCACACACGCACACCATCAGTGAGTGTCAGTAAAGCAGTGTATTAATCAGATATTGAGATGCAGATGGTCAGAATCCTCCTGTGTGTGTGCGTGAATGCGTGCGTGTCTGTGTGCGTGTCTGTGTGCGTGTCTGTATGTGTGCGTGTGTGTTCTGTCGTGTAGCTCCTCCTGATGTTTTGTTTTCTGTCACTCGTTCATCTGAACTCCTCATCGAGCTGCTTTACACATCCTGATCGTGTGTTTGTTTCATGAAGCCTCTCCTCATGTCCAGCTCATAGCGCTGCCTCTGAAATATCACAGTACATAAACTTTTCAAACGTGCATTTGCTTTAGCATTTAAAGATATAGTTCACCCCAACATGCAGATCTCCTCCTCCTTTTTTCTTATCCGTTCTTGTTTTCCTCCTTCTCTCTCTCTCTCTCTCTCTCTCTCTCTCTCTCTCTCTCTCTCTCTCTCTCCCTTTCTTTCTGTTTTTTGCCATCACATCACTTAGGGAATGATTTGAGGAATTGAAATTTGTTGTTATTATTATTATTATTAATTAAAATAAAGTAAATAATAAATGACTGTAATGTGGTCAAAACTGCACTTTTAAAATGGAGTTGTCAGATCAGTAATTGGTGTATGAAGCACTGTTATCTGATCACAGTATCTGCCGAGGACTTTATTCTGTATCTGTGTTTCCATCATAGTTTGTTTGCATAAAATGATCCACTTCATTTGATCAATACTATGAGCCTTTTCATGGTGATACAGCAAAAATACCCCCAAAGCAGAGATGGAAACATGGCTACTGAATATAAAGACAGCTTCTTTCTATCACACAGACACTAATGCACTCCTCTGAACTCACCGTTACTTCTACAGTTTAATTGTTGTTATTGTATATTTGGGTCTAGTTTACCCCGGCCGTCCTGTGCTGAGCAGTGTTTGTGTGCAGCACCCACAGAACTGACTGAACACATCCTGAATTCAGCTTTAATTGTCATTAAATCAGTTCTGTGTGCTGCTGTTGTACGTCTGTCTGTTTGCATTTGTCCTGCAAGCTTCATAGACACCACTGTCAAACGTTTGGAAAACAGCATTTATTATTATTGTTATTATGCATTATTAAAGGAGGCTCTTCTGCACACTGGGCTGCATTTATTTGATTTGAAAATACCGTAAATAATGTGATATGATGTGATGCAAAGTATTATGAATATAAGTGCCTTAAATGGTGTATATTAAAGTGCTTTTTTCCTTTATCTGAATTTTCAGCTGTCACTACTCTGATTCTGTGCTGAGGTATTATTCTGGATAGTGTTCCCGCAGATTTTTTTGCTTTACATTGCTATTCATACATAGGTTTAAAGACAAAATGATTAGATTTGATTCATTTAAAAACTGCTGTTAAAGTGAAAACCTGTGTCTGTGTGAATGACCTCTCGATTACTTTAATTCTGGGAGGCGTTTAGTTTATCTCTATTCAGAGACATTTAAAAATGTTACAAAAGATTTACTTGGAAAATCTTCAAATGAATCTGTGAATGCTGAAAATGCATCATGGTTTCCTCAGAAATATGCAGCAGCACAACTGTTTACAACACTGAAAATGATCAGAAATTTTGAGGATCTCTGACACTCAAGACTGGAGTAATGATGCTGAAAATTCAGCTTTACATCAGTTTCCTATGTTATTAATATTATCGTGAAATTGTAGTTATTTTACAATATTACAGTATTTGCTGTATTTATAATGAAATAAAAGCAGCCTTTAGTCAGCAGAAGACACTCACTTCAGAAAAAGCAACACTAATGTTGTTCTTTCCAGACTTTTGAGCACTGGTGCAGACTGGGACGTCTCTGTGTCTCCTGTTCTTGACTAACCCATGTGTGTTTCTTCATTTTACCGCGGTGCGTCCAGGTTTCTCTCAGCTCTGCAGCCCGCGCCGGGCACTCTCAGAGCAAGGCCCTCTCCGGCTCATCAAGAGCGCCTCTTTCTTTTCAGGTTGGCGTGTGTGTGTGTGTGCGCGCGCGTGTGTGTGTACGCGCATGTGCATGTGCATCTGAGCACTCTGCTTGTGCTGTGATTGTGAATAAGGCTTGCACAATATTGGAAAAAAATTACAATGAGATATTTAGTTTTTCTACTTTTTTATATGCTTGTATGTATATATATATATATATATATATATGTATATATATATATATATATATATATATATATGAATAATTAGGGATGCAACAATACAGTTCCACAGTTCAATACCAACCAACAGTTCAATACCTAAGTTTTTTAACACTGTTTTCGGTTGGGTTCTCATGGCTTGATGTGTGTGTTTTTTTTTTCTATAGAGAATATTAACTGTAAGAGGTTAAGGAGAAAAAATAAAAACGATTTATTGCAATATAATTTGTTTTATTTAAAAGCCAAAAAAAGTGCAGTAGTTCCTTGTATATTGTTTAAAAAATTAAAATAAACACACATGTGAAGTTAATAAAGATAAATTGGCCATTTCAAATAAACATATTTGTACTTCAGTAAACCTAAATAAACCATCTTAATTATATCGGTGCTGAAAAAATGCTGTAGTCTGTAATGTGGATCGAGTGCTTTTATATGATGACAAAAGCCCACATCTCCAATCACCCAAAACGGCTGCAAATCTTCAGCAATAAACACCTGCACTGCCTCTGTTATTTTATGTGCCTCTCGGAACCAGTTGAGTAGATTCAACGAGGGATTGTTGCTATTTTTAGGACTTTATTACCTTCTCTGCTCTCCTGCCTTCAGACAGTGATATTGCTGGGTGATGGCGCTGCAGATGTGCAGACATGGTTATACGTGTAAAACAATGCATGCACACAGTTAATTTTTGTTCACAGTTTTTCCTTTTAATGGCATTATAATTACAGACAAAACTGAAAAGTCCTCACACCGCAGATTTGAAAGAATCCGGCGCTTCCTCGTGCTGTTGCCTTACTTTGTCGCCGCTTCATTGTACTGTTGCCTCAGCCTCTCTTCACTGCCGCTGGCCATGTTAAAGTGTGTAATGATGGTCAAGCGCCCCCTAACTTTAGAGCATAGTGATTGGATATTTACTCGCGGGTTTCCTCATCTCAGATCATGGATTTAGAGGCACACACTGTCAATTCGGGGAGATTTAAAACGCACATAAATAATTTAAACAAAACCGAGAAAACCGCAATTCACAAGTGTGTATTGAACAGTGGAGGTCGAACCGTATGGTTCAATATTATATTGAGAACCGTGCATCCCTAATATAGCAATTATGACTATACTGTTAAGAAGATTCTATTTAGAAAATTTGTAGTTTTACCTTGATTGGGATTATTTTGTAGGACAGAGCGCATCTGCATAAAATAAGCAAAATGATAAAAACAAAAGCAATGAAAGCACAGATAGACAAAAACAGAATCTGTGTTTTTCAGTGGAATCTGACAGTATTGGGGTGCAGAAGTCAACTCTAATATAACACTGTGTAGTTTTATTGTATAAATAATTGAACAGAAGTAATGTTTGTTAAATTACCAGCTTTATAATTTTTTGTGCTCACTTGAAATCTTGCAGTCACTGGAATTTAAAACACATCCAGATAAAAATCACACTGTTGGATTAAACTTTACAGTGACTATTCGGATCATGTGTTCAGAACTGTGCTCCTGGTTATGATAATCCCAATGTGACATTGCAGATTGTAGACCATTGCAGAAGCGCATGTTACGATATCGGTGCTGAAACCATATATTGTGCAGCCCTAATGTGAAGCATGCCATCTGGTAGGACGTGTAGTGGTGAGTGTGAGTGTGTGTTTGCTGGCGTAGGTAGATCACAGTGGAGATGCTGGGCTGGTGGTGGTTCTGCGGGTGTGTGTAAACTCTCTCTTACAGTGTTTCTCTGCCTCCGCTCAGGACACAGTAACCCAATGGACATGCCTGGACGAGGCCTGTATGACGAGCGGGACAGCGGCATCGCACGCTCAGGTCAGCTACTGCACATTTACACACACTGACACATACTGCAGGTCAGCACTGTGATTGCCACCTTAAAGTCCATTAGATTTATTTTGTTTTTGTGAGTTTTATTTTAATCAAATTTGCAGAAAATGAGTGCTGGACAAACATTACTCACAACTAATCGCATCCAAAATAAAGTGTGCGTGCGTGCGCTGTCATTATTTACTATGATCATATAAATTAACAAATGCATGCATCATGCAGTGTAATGTAATGCAGTGCTGCTTGTCTGGTGTGAAGCCCACTTTATATCGAGTCTCAATCAGGCAGTGAAGATCATCGATTTAAAACAAACCAGATCCTAAATGTGGTGAGTTTATAATGGCATGACAGTTCACCGGAAACACCTGAGAGAACTTAATGAAACAAAACTACAGTCCCTGTGCATGTTATACCCCATCGGACTGGAAATAATCCAGTGATCCTGAACAGCTTCCTCTGTGCTGTTACTGTGGTATGACCAGGTCAGGCTGTGGTATAATATTGGCCTGATGCCTCTGAGATTTGCAGCTTTCTGAAATGCAGTGGGCCTGGAAAAGCTTGTGCAATGGAAAGTGGCGTGATGGTCTGGGCCACATAGCTGGGATCCCTCGCTCTGGCTAATGCTGCATCACATGCACATGCTTATATTTAGCAGATCCCAAAAAAACAGGCCTGCACTGGTTAATGAGGAGGCTAATTCAGGCCTGCGTCGGCACAGGCGTTTCATCTGCATTGAGCTTCTGGAGTGTCTCCTCTTATTATTAATGTGACTCTGGAGACCCGCTGACCCCACAGCGTAAAGGCTAAAGCTCTGTTAAAGTGGTGTGCGTGCGTGCGTCTGTGTGTTGTTCACCAGCAGAACATCTTTATTATTAGTGCTTCAGTGTAATTCCATGCTTGTATTGTCACTGAACTGTCTATCTTGGTTGACTGCTCTGTTTAAGCTGCATCATGTTTTAGTCCAATAGCAGTGCTCCATTTCTAAACTGAGAGCACTTTGATGGACGCTTTTAAAAATGTGTTCCTGGGAAGAACTTTAAGTTATTTTAACTGGAAAATCACGTCTGTAATATTTTATTTTATTTATTAGTTTTTACATTATTTTTTATTTAATCGATTTTTTTTTAAACATTTTATTTATTTTTTTATTGTATTTTTTATAATTAATTTATTTTTTTATTATATTTAATTTTCTTATTTTCTTAATTTAATTTAATTTTGTGTTTTGCTTCACAACGTTTGTGCCATCACTTGCTCTCAATACACAGATCAGCAAACAATGACTGACTTTTGTGAATCTGATTCAGTGGTTCAGTTGTGCATATATAATGAACCCATATAAAAAATTAAATACTGTAGTAATCCATAGCAAATACTGTAGTGTTTTTAAACCATACTATTATTCAAGTTTAAGTGCCCATAACCTGGAAGGTGCGATTGTTTTGTTTTTCTCGAAATGTGATGCAGTTCCTAGAGAAATGAAATATATCAAATAAGTAAACAGTGGGTGTGGCTTTTTTTTAATTTACTGCGAGCTGATTGGATGTAGTAAAGTAGACGTTAGATTCAGAAAGATGGGGAAAAGGGTTTGGGGAGAGTTATTACAGCCTAACAGACTCCTCCTGCTCACTATTTCTGTTAGATGTCAAAACTGACAGCTGGAGGGGTGTGGTTAAGTGTTAGCCCCGCCCAATTCCTAAGATGTGTAATCTGACTGAAATAAAACAAGACGTGCATTTACAGATCTTAATTAAAGATTACAAGGGCAACTACTTTATTTATTTTTTCTGTCTTACTGTCATGCACAGATGAATTGATCAGCCCAAAACTAGCAATGCGAGCTAACAAAATCAATATTGCTAGATTTGATTCCGTGTAATGTAATGTGGTGATTCTGCTGTTGCTTCGGTAACTCGACTATCCAAATATATTATAACTAATAACTAAACGTGTATATTATACTACCATACACCGCTGTAATCTAATGCAGTTTTACTGCAGTATTAGACTTTGCTGTTCTGAATAGCTGTGTGTGTGTAGAGTGTGACCTGCTCTTGTCTTGTACACACAGCGTCTTTAAGCAGTCTGCTGATCACACCGTTCCCGTCTCCGGGCTCTTCTCTGACCAGCAGCTGTGCCAGCAGTTACCAGAGGCGCTGGTTACGCAGCCAGACCACCAGCCTGGAGAACGGAGTCTTCCCCAGATGGTGCGACACACACACACACACACTTAAAGCTTTTCTAACACACACACACTTAACAGCTCGTCTAATGGCCCGTTTCCACTTGAGTGATACGGTACGCTTCGGTTCGGTACGCTTTTATGGCCGTTTCCACTGTCAAAGGGTACCTGAAAGCAAACCGTACCGTACCACTTATTGGCCCCCCTTTGCAAAGGGTACCATAAGGCGGAGGGATGTATTCATATATTTGTTTATTTATTTATCTAATATGATCGCAGACAATACAGCAGGTAATTTCACACTGTCATTGATCTGCAGTTATAATCAAGTCATGTTCATAGTAAGGTTATTAATGAACATTTGTACAGTATTGATGTGTATAAAGCATCTGTTTTGTGAGAAGTTCTGCTCATATGATATATGACCAACCTGTACAGTGTTACTGTGACATTTCCTCAAGTAAAAATCACTTTCAATTAAACTTTGTCATGCACTACACCCATCTAAAGGGATCTTTTGGCAGTGGAAACGCAAACCTGATAAAGGTGACCCATACCAATCCGTACTGTACCACTCAGTGGACACGGACCATAAGACACACGGCTTGTCTAACACACGCATGCATGCTCAACACACACGCAGCTCGTCTGAAACACTTGCAACACACACAATCTCTCTCCCGCTCTCATTCACACACACACACACACACACACACACACACACACACACACACACACACACACACACACACACACACACACACACACACACACACTTACAGCTTGTCTAACACTCACTCACACATGCACACACAACACACAGTTTTACTGCACAACAGCTACAGCACATTATCAATTTTTCATTTATTTTTTTTTTTGTTGCAATAAAGTCAGTGAAGTGTTTTATTTTCTCAGACATCAGGCTTCAAACTACATGATGCATCTCTTTCTTCAGATATTCTGCTTTACTAACACAGTAACACGTCTTTACTGCCTCTTTTTCAGCCGGCCACATGCAGTACAGTCAGACTAGCTGAGATGGCGTTGTTGCATTATTAGACTGTGATTGCATCATTAAATGTGTTTCTGCAGGTCTGTGGAGGAGAGCTTCAACATGTCTGACGAGAGCAGCGGGCCGAGTCTGGGTGTCGCCCGCAAGAAGAAGATCGCCATCGGGGTCATCTTTCAGCTGTCGCCCAACGAGGAGGAAAACACAAAGTTCCAGGACTTCTTCTTCTCCCACTTCCCACTGTTCGAGAGCCACATGAACAAACTGAAGAGCGCCATCGAGCAGGTTAGACTCGGCCTGGGTTTATAGAAGAGTGTGTCCACTCTCAATGTGTGTAACTCAATCTCTGTGTGTGTGTGTGTTTGAAGGCGATGATACTGAGCCGCAGGTCAGCCGATGCCAACCAGAGAGCCTTGGCGTACAGTCGGATGGTGGACGGCCTGAATGAGTTCAGGTGAGTTTGTGCAAAAATTATGCAAAAATCACTTGCATGCAGGGTTTAAACCCAGTTGTGTGTTTGTGTGTGTCAGCAGTGTGTGTGAGTATCTTCAACAGCCTTTAATGATAAAGATGAGTGAGTTGTGTTTGTTCTAATCAGACTTGATGCAGAAACACTGTGATTGACATTCTCCTGCTGTACGTGTCATCAGAGGGGGAAAGCCCCGCCCACTAGTTCCCATTTCTCCATCTCATTAGCATAATCAGCAGGCCTGAGTGAGAAGCAGCCGTCTGTCCATTAGCCATTAGAGTGTTTGAGCTGCTGAAGATGATGTCAGCATAGACTAAGAGGATTATAGATGTATATAGATTACAGTATGTTTTACTTGTCTAGAAAATGCTTCTTAATTTAAAAATTGTTAGATGTTTGGACCAGAAACGAGACAAAAAACTCTCAGTAAGAAAAGATTTTGCAGTGTAGTGTCAGATATTGAAAGAGGAGTAGTGTTATACCCGTATTGGACAGGTAATTGATGAATTTTCTTGTGCAGAAGGGCTTGTTCTTCAGTCCTGGTGTATTTAAAAAAAAAAGCTTAATGTGTGTGAGAGCTTCAGGGGTGATCCTCTACACACACACACACACACACACACACTCTCATACTTCCAGTCATATGCCTGCTGGTCAGTGGCCAGAGCAACCCGAGCCGACACACTATCTCTCCCACACACTGTCAGGACGGACCAGAATAGTCAATAATGTGCAAGAGAACAGACAAACAAATATTTCAGATTTCCCACCTCCGCATGGCTTATTACACTCTCTGAGTGTTCCGTTCATCCGGGTGTGGGATCAGAGGAAAGGATGAAGCTTGACAGTCCAGAAACCTTGTTATTTATTCTATTTTATAAAAAGGTAGTGCAATCTGTTAAGCACTGACTGAAAAAGCATGTGACTTGCTCTAAAGTGAGGTCACTTCCTGTGGTAGGCAAGTCTGCAAGGCAGTTAAAACCAGACTCAAATGCTCCCTACATAGACTGTAAAAGATAAGGATGTAGTATCCGTGACGTCACCTATAGGTTTCTGAAAAGCGCAAATGAAGCTAGTAGACGTCGCCAGCCGGTGCCATTTTGTTCGTGCATCATCGCTCCAGCCGGGGGTAACCAAATAAGGGCAAAGAGGCGGAGCGTGAGCGGAGCAACAGTCGCCTGCTGGCATTTTGCTTAGACGGGCTTTTCTGTGGGAGAAACTCTGAATACTTCATTACCTGCGACTCGCTTGTGTTCTGACCACATGTGCTCGGCTGTTCACTATATCAATGAAGCGTTTAGTCTTTTAAAGACACTGCTGTAACACACTGAGCCACTAAACATTGTTCTTATGACGGTTTTCTTATTACTAAAGGAGGAAAACTTAAATCACTTCCAAACACTTCAGATATAGTGTGTGTTAGTAAATGCAGGACTATTGATGAACTCCAGCAGAACACTGTATGACGACACTTCAGATGACTGATCTAGAGCCTACAGCTGATCAGTCTGGCAGATTCTGGAGTGCAGTACAGCTCTAAAGAACATTATAAATGATCCTAAATCAAGCAAATACATGTATAGAGATGGTGTACAAGTATATCATTTCACTCATCTGGGAAATGGAGACCACGTTTGAGCACAATTAAGTGTACACAGCATACCAAATCATCTGATATTTGAAAGAAATGATTCCAAAGGGCGACTGACTGTGTAAAGCCACACAAAACAACACAATGCAATGAATATGCAGAGTTCAGCAGCTAATCAGCCGGAATCAGCTGAGGTGACTGTGACCAGCGAGACCTAGCTGCCACTCAAATGGCCACTCCTTTAATTGTGCAGACTTAATAAAAATGAAATGGATAAGTTAAAAAAAAAATGTACCCCCTCACAGTTGTCATGAAGGGTAATATTAGCAATGTACACCAAAATCGTTCTTTGTATCAGGCTGTAAATCCTTTTTTTCTGCTGTAAAGTTTACCATTTTAACACTGGGCTCAATAGAAATCTGCTCCTATGGAGCCTGGACTAGCGGAATCTCCATGAGTTGCAGTTTCAGATACTTCCGTATTAGCTTCACGAGGGAGAGCGGGACGGTGACGCTTGGTTCCCTATTATATTAAAGCATTTTTTATTTTTACAGTTATAATCTGTTCAGTTTACTGTAAATACATTTGTTTTATTTTTTTCCAGTTCAACTGAAATAAATGGGAGATGCTTAATGTGTCGTTATTCTAGAATGAGACCTTTATGGTACAAAATTGAATTCATTAATTTTGATTAATTCTTCCAAATATTCTATCATGCCTGCGACAACTAATAAATGTGTTAATATGAGTTTAGTAGCTGTAGTGTAGTGTGGGTACCTGTAAAAAAATCAATTCCAATGAGCTGGACTGATGAAGGAACGTGCATGTTGTTTTCTGTCAGTCCACAGCTCAAGGTGTCGCTTTACGGTTCCCACGGGTCACAGAGATTTCTGGAATATCATAGAATTTTAAAATGTGTATATTATATAATAAAAGTCTAGGATTTTTTTTATTTATTATTATTATTATTATTATTATTTGTCCAAATCATAAAATGTCATTGATTATTGTTTGTCATATTTAAAAGTTTTTTTTTTGGTTTCTGTTTACTCAATGTTGTGTTTGTACTGTGTTTATGCGTTGTTATGCGTTTTGCCTACTGTTATGATTAGGCTTTTTTGTGCCATTTTTCCTCGGGTCACATGCTGTTAGCTGGCTGTACCATAATACTGTCAGTGGCTGTGTTTTTCTGTTCAGTTCACAACACAAATGCAGCCTGTATTTTCTGTTCATTATTGATCATGGAAATTGAGCTTTTCAGTCAGTGAAAGTCTGGAAAAGTCAATGAATTTGACATTTGGCTTGTAGGGGGAAGCCTGGGTTCATGAAAGTAGACCTCGGCTTCATAACTCTTACCTAATCCAGAGCTAAAACGGTTCTGTCTGTGAGCTGAAGCTTTTTATAGCTCACTACACACTAACTTCAGTACTGAGAAGAGTAGTACGGCTTGGGAAGGGTTTGTCCTTCTTCCAAGTGTCACGTTGTTATCGGTGCGCTCCCGCTATCTGCATCTTTCCCTACGCATAATCAGCAGCAGTACCTGGAAACGACATGTGGGAGATCTCCCTGCTGCTCACTTTACAGCATGCATTGCTCCTCTGATGATGTCCTGCGTGTCCTGAACTCTGCTTGGTGTATAGTGAAGCAGAGGGGCACTTGTTCAGCTGGAGCAGTTCTTCTTATCAGTCTTTGCTGGTCTCCTAACAGTTCATCATATTAGCATCATACATGCCACCGATACCACAAAAAAACTGGCATCAGTATTGAAGAGTACTTGAACCTATAAAGCAGGGGTCTCAAACTCTTGGTTGGGGGCATTACATGGCCATTTTAACATTCAAGCACAAGAAGAAAGTGCAAACCTGATGTAACTGATGCATCTCAGGACAACACGCATGAGGTTTATATTTCAAGCGTTACCTGTCAGCAGTGCCAATGCAAAACAACATGTTCAGTGGTGTCACACATCTGCTGTGGCTGGTGTGTGTGATTGTGTCCGAGCATTAGACACACACGGTTATTCTTACACAGAATTAATGCAGTGAAACTTTAGCGTTTTGTTTCTCCTTGCACGTACTGAAGGAGAGGTTTAAATTGCTATAAAAGTACTACAAATACTAGGCATAATAATAATTATGATTCTGTCCTAAGTAATTGTTGCTTAAGCAAATGTTTAACAGATCGCGTAAGAACAGCAGAAAGCAGTTCGGGGAACATTATTGTCTGTATTGCTGTTTGTTTTTCTTTATATACTACTTTTTTCTGTGAAACACCAACATAAAAAGGGGAAAAGTATGCATATAATTTAATGTTTAATTCAACCAGCTTGACGTTGAAATGTTACTACTGTACATAGTTTTTGTACAAATCTTAATACACATGAGGAAAACCCATTAAATGAGACCATTTATCTAGAATATTAGCAAAATGAGCACGTTACACCACCAGCATGGCATGTAAGCCACGAAGAAGTGTTTTTACAACAAAATACAGGTGGAATAAAACCAATATGACCCTTGAATAATGGTAAAAAATATAGCACTTACTATCAAATATTTCCAAGGTTTCCACGTTTACCCAGCCACAGGAATAATCTGCATGTGTGTTACTCTCGACTGAGAGAAACCGAAATTAAAACTATTGATCATTTCAATGTGCTGATGTCATTGGCACATGAACAGCTCCCTCTTTTTGTCAAACTATTTCATAACAATATCAAGATGCAATTTAATCATAACTTAAATTAAAACAGCTATCATAACATTCAGTATGCGAGTCGTTTTAGATTCTCAAAGCCATAGAAATTAAAAATGTAAAACAGGAAATGCATTAGGACTATTGTTATTGTTTACATCCCTCAAAATAGTCTGGCTTTATGCGACGGCACAATAATGATAGTGATTTAAAAATATATATACTTTAATAAATATTTCCTGTGGGCCTGCAGATGATTTGTACTATGGTATTTGTATTTATTCCTATCTCTCAGCTTTAGCTACTGTAACATCTCCCTTGTTGAGCTCTGGCCTGCAGCCTGTGTTCCTCTGCTGTGTCAGATGTTAAATATGCTGAACAGGCCTTCGCCGGCCGGGACAGCCCTGTGCGATCAAGTGCCGTTTGTTTTAGCGTCTGACAAAAGCTTTTCTGTTTTTTTAGGACCACCATCTGCAACCTGTACACGATGCCACGAGTGCCAGAGCCCGTCTGGCTCACCATGATGTCTGGACCCCCAGAGAAGAACCAGCTCTGTGGACACTTCATGAGGGAGCTGGCCCTGCTGATGGAGCAGGCCTCCAAGAACCAGTTCAGTAACCGCACTCACACTGCTCTATTTAATCCATCTTTATTATGTTTACTTTCTATGTTTATTTGATTATTTACTTACTCATTTGTTTATTTGTTTACGTAATTACTTATTTACTTGTTTACTTTTTTGCTTATTTAATTTCTAAATTATTTACTTGTTTTTTTTTATTGTTATTATTTGTTTGACTTGTATATTTATTTACTTGTTTGCATATTTTTCTTTTATTTTTATCATATATGTTTTGTTTATTTACTTTTACTTGTTTATTTGACTTTTTTGTATTTTTTTTATTTACTTGTTTGACTTATTTATATACTTATTTATTGCTTTGTTTATTTACATGTTTGAATATATATTTAATTATTTATTTCACCAGGAAGGTTATTTTTTTTTAAGGTACTTAAAATAGTAAAAACCATATTCAATTAAAAAAACAGTTTGAAAATAGACATAGATGCTGTAGATCACATGCATCTTAAAGCTTGTTGCATACATAAAGAGCAGATTTAGAATACTCATTGCATGCTGTGATCAATGTGAGTGGTGGTCCTGTTTTTATTATTAACTTGTCTTGGCTTGCTTTCTCTCCTTCATTAGATTCCTTCCTGCACTTCTGACTGCGGTGCTCACTAATCATCTGGCCTGGGTTCCCACGGTCATGCCGAACGGTCAGCCACCCATTCAGATCTTCCTGGAGAAACACTCCTCGCAGAGTGTGGACATGCTGGCGAAAACACACCCCTACAACCCGCTCTGGGCACAGCTCGGTAAATCACGCAGAAATCATGAGGTTCGCCCCCTAGTGGAGCTTTGATGGAAATCACCAAAACACTCCATGCCTAATCAAACACGCCTGAAAATGAAAACATAAGCATGACGTTTTTACCAGCAGGTGTGTTTGATTAGGGATGGAGATAAACACCGGCTGTATCTGAAATCGCACCGCTATACCCTTAATAGTGCTCTGGTTTAGGCAGCACCATTTCTAGTGGTGTCTGAAACCATGGTGAACGATATGAAGTGCACTCAATCAACCCACAATGCACAGCAATAACGAGTCTTCGACCCATGAACACCCAACAGCTACAATCAGCCCATAATGCACTGTATGCATGCTGAATGAATTTCCACGTCTGACCACTAGATGGTGTCTAAAGCACAATCCAGGTGTATAAACTAGTGTAAAGTTTAAAAATACAATATGATTTAAATACTGTAATGTTTGTGGACTGAAATGAAAAGTCTTTGTTTGGTTACTGATAGACAGAGGGTTAAATGACTATCACAGGGTCTGAGCCAGAAATGTAAATCTGTGTTAGGGATGTATTAAAACACAAACAAACAGCATTCCTTCAGTGCACTGAATGCTGGAATTCACTCACTCATTTCATTCACTGCTGTAAGTGGACTATATTAGTGGACTATTGTAGGGAATAGTGAATGAGGGTACAGGGAGCTACTCTACTGGCTGACTGAAAATTAAGTCTGTGTGTATATACTCCATTGCTGATAGTGTGCTTGCTGTAGGTGACCTGTACGGGGCGATCGGCTCGCCGGTGCGTCTGTCCCGTACGGTGGTGGTGGGCCGGCGGCAGGAGCTGGTGCAGCGACTCCTCTACCTGCTCACCTACTTCATCCGCTGCTCGGAGCTGCTGGAAACACACCTGCTGGAGAGCGCCGAGGACGAGGCCATCGTGATGCCCGGATCCCTCATCACCACATCACTGCGCCGCGGAGAGGTGGAGGAGTCCGAGTATGTGCTGGTCACTATGCACAAACCCAGCCGAGACTACCTGAGCCAGGGGGACAAATCTGACCCTGCAAACCCAGACGAACACCAGACAGAGCACACCAGTGATGTTCCGGTCTGCAGAGTGGCCGACAGCCCACTGTTCGACACCCGGCTGGAGACCCTAGTCAAAGTGGGATCCACCTCTCCGTCTGAGAGAAGAGCCTCCGTGGAGGTGCAGGAGGCGCAGGCTGAAGCTGGAGGCGTTCCCATCAGGATCCACCATCCGTCCGACTCACTGCTGGAGAAAAAACCCCCGGACAAGAGCTTTCCAGACATCGAACCCTCAGCCAAAGTCACATTCCTCATCGGCGACTCCATGTCTCCTGAATCTGACCTGGAGAGCCGGCAGCAGAAGGTGGAGCAGGAGATACGGAGACACAAGCAGAAGCTCCTCAGAGACGCTCAGCAGACTAACACTGAGAATAAACTCCAAGTGGACCAAATCAAGAGTAAATCCAGAGAATTTGTGACTGGAAGGACGCCTCGGTGGAGTGCGAGTGCGCAGGAGGACTGTGTGGACATGTTTGAGGAGTACTTCAGTGAGGACAACCCTGTGCAGACCTTGACTATTGATGATGTCTACGGGAAACATGCACCGAAAGACAAGTCCGATGTGCAGCTGGAGTGTGTGCGTGTGGACGCCGGCTGCTGTAAAAGCTGCAGTTCTGCTGATCTGGATAAAGGCATTGAGATCTCTCTGAGTGTCCCTTCAGCTGTAGAGCAGAAGAAAGCAGCTCCTCTGAATGACTGGGAGATCCCTCGAAACGAGAGCTCGGACAGCGCTCTGGGGGACAGCGAGAGCGAGGACGCAGGCCCCGATCTGCCCAGAGCGGACCCCGATGGAGCCTTCGACAGCGACTTCCAGGACGAGCTGGAGCTGCCGCTGCCCGGGTGAGTCTGATATTAAACTCTACATCATTTGCTGTATTGCAGTGCACACACACACACAAATATAAACATGTTGTGTCATATGACCCCTAAAGTACACACATGATCTTTGCAGAAGTGTGTGAAAGTGCTGATAATAAACATGATTGGATGTTTTGCAGGGCGAAGCTGGTGGAGAACTACTCTAAACCCAGCATCGCTAACTTCGGCAGGTCGTTGTTTGGAGGTTACTGCCCCTCATACGTTCCAGACTTCGTTCTGCAAGGAGTCCCCAACGATGAGAAGCTGAAGCAGAACCTGGTGTCCGACCTGGCTCACGCTGTGCAGGTAACCACTAAATGCACATTTCATCTGCTGTTGCCAGCCAGCTTATCTTGCAATGCCTCAGGAAGCTCCTTTCTGCAAACGCGTTAGACTTCTGGCCCAAATCCACAAAACTTCTGTATTATAATAAACGTTTTCTCTTTAAAAAGCAGGAAGAACTGTTTCTCGAAAACTGTTCACAAAGTTGCTGAGATGAACTTCTACTAGGGAATAGAGGTCAAACTACAGGGCTCACAAACCTCTAGCCTGACCTAACGGGGCTGTTATGGTTTCTAGTCGGGCTACCAGATATTAATCCGCCGTAATGAGAGGAGCATATAGCTTATTATAGTGCCTGTGCATTCGCTCATATAATGGATAACTGTTGTCTGTTAATGTTCATGCATTGAGGAATCACTATCAACATGTGTGTTGAATTAGCGTTTGTGCTAACTGGGGTTGTTAAAAGTACTTTGGTATCAAGTTGATTAAAAAGAATAATAAATCAATAGAGGTATACCGACCAGTTTGTCACGTGATTTTCTTTTTCAGAGACAGTTAAAAAATTAAATAATTATAATAATTAGTTCATTCATTCATTTTCTCTTCAGCTTCGTCTCTTCATTAATCAGGGGTCCCCACAGGGGAATGACCCGCCAACTTGTCCATCACATGTTTTACACAGCGGATGCCCTTCCAGCTGCAACTCTGGGAAATACCCACACACTTCCATTCACACTCATACATGAAGGACAATTTAGAATATTCAATTCGCCTATAGCACATGTGTTTGGACTGTAGGGGAAACCGAAGCACTCTGAGGAAACCCACGCCAACATGGGGAGAACATGCAAACTCCACACAGAAACACCAACTGACACAGCCGGGGCTCAAACCAGCGACCTTCTTGCTTTGAGGCGAGAGCGCTACCCACTGCCCCACCGTGCAGCCCTAATAATAATAATAATAATAATTGTAATATTTAAATGAACGTTTGGTTATAGTTAATCATCTCCTATAATGCATGTCATAACTTGTTGGTTACGTTTTACAATGAGGATGTATTAGTAAATGTTCATTACTGCATTTACTATTGTAAACAACCTGTGAACAGTGCATTTATTACAGTATTTGTTCATATTAGTAAATAGTAATAAAGTCTTAGCTCATGATAACACGCATGAGTTTGTGTGTTAATGCATTGGTAAATGTTGAACTGTGATTAATAAATGCTATACTAGTATTATGCATAATTAGTTCACTTTAGTAAATACATTAACTAATGAAATCCTATTGTAAAAACAATTAGAATCGGAAATTTTACAGATCATTAGACTATTTCTACACTGAGAAAAAAGTTTCCCCTTGAAGGTTTTTAAGATATTTCTCAAATATTGAACTGAGAAATTGTGTGGGTTTTATTGTAAATTTAGTTATTTGTTTATTGTTTAATATCTTACTGTATTTTAAAAACGGTTATAATTATGTAATATGTCTTTATTAATAGTGATCTTGCCATGTAATAGCCATAAGTGCTGATGTGGCAATAAACAAACAAACAAATACATTTAAGGAATGGAGAGACGCCTGAAAGTAAAGCGGAGACTGGAGACAGTACCTGAGTGCAGAGCTGTTGAATGTAAACTGAGTGTGTGTGTGTGTGTGTGTGTGTGTGTGTGTTTTCAGCATCCGGTGCTGGACGAGCCCATCGCGGAGGCCGTGTGCATTATTGCAGACACAGAGAAGTGGACGGTGACGGTGGCCAGCAGCCAGAGACGCTCCTCTGAGAAACTGGGTAAAGAGGTGCTGGTGTCCAGCCTGGTGTCGGGTCTGCTGCAGTCCACACTCCAGCTCTACCGCCTCAACCTGTCCCCAAACTTCGTGAGTGACTCGCACACACTGACAGATACACAATAACAGCTTGTGTGTTTGAAAAGGTACAAATAAATTCAGTGTACTGGATAGTTTGTGATTTATGATTTTTTTTTTTTTTGCTAAATGGGGTTTTGGAATTACTGGTATTCTGGAATTTATTGGGTAAATGTGTTTACATTATAGTTTGTCCCTCTCAATTTTTGTGCATCAGTTTTTTGTGTGCATTTTCAAAATGTACGCATGTCTTGGCATTTCTTTTAAGCATTTTATTATGCCATAATCCAAAATGCTCATGAAAAATAAGTGACTGGAAACTTAGCTGGAGATGCACTGAATCTTGGCCAATTGTGAATTATTTCATTTTATTTTCTGCTGATTCTGATTTTTACTGATTCTGATTTTTTTTCTAATTATAATAATAATAATAATAATGAATAAACATCAAAGATCTTTGAACTATTGTGAAATGAGAAAAAAGTACAATTATAGACAGTGGAAAATTACATGCATTTCAAATGTTGTTAATGCAGTTTGAGGAATCTGTTTATTACTATTATTATTATTATTATTATTATTATTATTATTATAAGAAAAAAAATCTGACTCAAAAAAAATGATGGGCTTACATTGACTAACAGCTGATGAACAATAGAAACAGCGCCTCCATCAGTCCGTCTTGGGTCACTGCAGGGCAGACAGATACACATTAACATAATAATGGACATCATCACACTAATTAGTCAAGTCCGGAGTTTAATTTTAAATGATCACATGTATTGATGACTATAATTAGATGCACGCAAGTAGTGTGCATGCATGACTGAAATGTGCTGTGAATAGTTAAATAGACCTCTAGTGTCCACAGCTGTTTTACATTAACTGAAGTATAAATAAAGGCTGCGAGATCTGCGGGTTACAGAGGAAACTCTGAATGTGCAGTGTATTTAAACACACTTCATCTCCAGCACAACTAGATCAACTGAAGTTTTCCCTTAACATTTCACACCATTTACTTCAGTTCTATAAGTTTAATAGCTGTAATTGTACATTTAAAATAAAGTGTCTTCAGAAACAGATTATAAGAAATAAAATATATTTGCCTTTTACTAGTAGTCCACATTTACAGTTTAGCAATATTGTTATTTTAAACTGCATGAAGTGTAATAATACTTTAGTCAGCGCATTTGTAGTTCTGTTTTATTTATTTTTTTATTTTTTTTTAGGTCAAACGTGTCATTTACAGTATTAAAAATGCACAAGGTCAGTTTTGGTAAGCAATGTTAATAGAAGTCTTAAAGAAGCCCACATCCCAACATGCCCCGCCCCCTTTTCCCCTCACGCTGTGATTGTTCTGCAGTCCTGCAGAGGGCGCCAGCGCTGTACATCAGCACTCTCAGATTGAGTTGATTTTAGCCAGACTAGCTTCCTCAGATGATCCTGTCTGTCACTCAGTCATTACATCTGCTCTCTTCATTTCATTTATTCCAAACCTGACTGAGTTCATTTCTGCAGTCCAACTCAAAAGATGATATTTTGAAGAATGTTGGAAATCAGCAGCCACTGACTGACTTAGTATTTTTTCTTACTATGGAAGTGAATGGCTACCAGTTTGGGTAGTTGCAGAATTTTGATCAAAGTTATTCTAAAAAACCTGTTTTAAATGTTATTTATTGTTGTTTTATGGTCAGTAACGCATGTTTTATAGACACCTGTCATTCATAAATTTGAGTAAATATGGCCATTGAAGCTGATATGGAAGTAAACTGTGTGTGTGTGTTTCAGTGTATCATGCATCTGGAGGACCGTCTGCAGGAGCTCTACTTTAAGAGTAAGATGCTGGCAGAGTATCTGAGAGGACAAACACGGGTGCATGTGAAGGAGCTGGGCATGGTGCTGGGGTGAGAATACACACACACACACACACACACACACACACACACACACACACACACACACACTTACACTGCAAAAAATGCTTTTCTTACGTAGATTTTTTGTCTTGTTTCTAGTCCAAATATCTCACAATTCCTAAATCAAGAAGAATTTTCTAGACAAGCAAAACATTCTGTCTTGTTTTGAGAAATAATATGCCAATAATAAGTGAGTTTTTCCGTAAAACAAGCAAAATAATCTGCCAATGGGGTGAGCAAAATAATCTAACGTCAAAAGAAAAAACAAGATTAATTTGCTGACCCCATTGGCAGATTATTTTGCTTGTTTTACGCAAAAACTCACTTAATATTGGCATTTTATTTCTCAAAACAAGACAATTAGTTTTGCTTGTCTAGAAAATGCTTCTTAATATAAGAAATTTTAGATATTTAGACTAGAAATAAGACAAAATATCTAAGCAAGAAAAGCATTTTTTGCAGTGCACTCACACGCACGTACACACTTAGACACTAACTCTCACACTCACTCACTCTTAAACACACTGATATATCTATCATGCTGCTGGGGTGAGCATACACACACACACACACACACACACACTGATGAAGCGCATGCGCAGGCTTCACTCTCTACATCTGTCTACAGCAGAGGTTATGTGCATTTATTTTCATCAAATAAAGCTTTGTCCATCTTAGATCTTTTAATGTGGATTTTTCAAAATGTGCTTCTGTCATATCCATGAAGCGTTTTTCATATATTCAAAATGCTCATAATAATAGGTGGATGGAAACACACACACACACACACACATAGATACATACACACATACATACATGTTTCCTTAAGTGACGCTCTGCTGTTCTTCTCTCCGCAGGATCGAGTCCAATGATCTTCCCCTGCTCGCAGCCATCGCCAGCACACACTCCCCGCACGTGGCCCAGATCCTGCTGTAGGCGCGCAGACACGCACTCATTCCCCTCGGCGTCTGCAGGTCCAGGACTCCAGCGGGCCCCAGGGAGCCTGCGGGTGAGCAGACTGCAGGACAGATGCTCCCTCACCCGCTGGCGGCCCACAGGTGTCCTCTGCTGACCACAGAACAGCCGACTCCTGGTGCTAGATGCACAATTCCACTGTACACCGGGTCTCATTCACTAACCATGCGGATCTGTCACGAGTCATCAACACTTCCGCACCGTGATCGGTTCTAAATGTAGGAAAACAGTCCAGAGCAGCTGATGGCACGGGCACACAGCAATCAGCCCCTCCAGCATTTCATGACAGATAATCAGACTTATTGACTCTGAACTGATCGATTGCTGATATTGTTCTGCGGTGTAAATGCACAGACATGCACATCTTCATTTATGTAGATTTTCTGACTTGATTTCTGTAATTATATAAAGCAAACACAGAGAGAACCTAGACCTCAGCCCTGAAGCTGCTGGATCATATCTGAAATGCAGAATAATGCATCCGTGTGGTTTGACAACATCTCGCGTGGCCTACTTTAAACAGGCTTTGAACGTGTTCACACGGATCACACACTGCATGAGAAGCACATGTGATAATATCATCATTCTAATATATTTATATATCAGATTATTCACCAGGATTATGTTTCTGAATGCGACACCATGCAGACGGCGAGAGTCCGTGTCCCGACTGGTGAATATGTGCAGGAAATCTGCAGCATTTATCAGAAACGAGGACTCCACACAATGAGCTGATGTTCACTGGAGTTTACCGTAAATTCAGCAATTTGTGAAACTCTGGAGGGTCTGAAGAATTATGCGTGCCTGAGGTCTTATAAACATGCATAAAGAGCCCTACATATAACTAGTGATGTTATTTACAGGGTGAATGAAGAGTATCTAGACATCAACAGTTGATATTACAGTATATTAATAGAGATCCAAACGACAATCAGCTGCTGAATCCTGTGTAGAGATGATCAGTGTGTCTCAGGAAACGGCGCCTTTAGAGAGCAGACAGATTGATGAATGGCTGTTCAGGTCTCGATCACGCAGGATGGGTTTTTCATTATGGCGAGCGGCGTCATTTTAAAATGGTTTTCCATCTACATGTTTTGACGGATGGAGAAAAAGCGGCTGAGCATGAGGAGCGTTGATGCAGTGGTTGCCTAGCAACATAAAACACGCAGCGCTCTGCTCTTTAAGAGTCTTTTCTAAAGTCCACAGAAGTGCAGTGTGTTTTTATATGTGCGTTCCACATCCAACATCAAACCCTCATTAGCATTAACGCCCCATTCACACGGCGGGTCAACGTCAACGCTTGACTAAAGATGTGTCTGATGCGATCGTCATAGCAGCGTCAGCCAATGAAATTCTGTCGCCAATAGGCCACTGTCTAGCTGGTGTATTTGCAGACAGCGATCTGATTGGCTGACGCTTCCGTCGCCGCTTGAAATATTGAGCTAGTCCCAACTTCTGCATTGAGCAACGCCTCTGAATCAGCGCCGATGGATCCACAATGCAGTTCGGCAACGCCTGACGTCACCCATTCACAGTGAATGGGAAGCGTTGAAGCTGACGCCCTGTGTGAATGAGCCGTAAACCTCTCTTTCTGTAGTTTCAGAGCCATCATTAGCTCTTCTTCATTCATCTTGTAATTTTCTCTTTGAGGCTTTGAGGAAAGCCCTTATATGGAGCTGATGTGGGCGTGTATTATGCAAATGACGGGCGAGGCAGTGGCGCAGTAGGTAGTGCTGTTACCTCACGGCAAGAAGGTCGCTGGTTCGAGCCTCGGCTCAGTTGGAGTTTCTATGTGGAGTTTGCATTTTCTCTCTGCCTTCGCATGGGTTTCCTCCGGGTGCTCCCGTTTCCCCCACTGTCCAAAGACATGCGGTGCAGGTGAATTGGGTAGGCTAAATTGTCCCTAGTGTATGTGTGGATGTTTCCCAGAGATGGGTTGCGGCTGGAAGGGCATCCGCTGCGTAAAAACGTGCTGGATAAGTTTCATTCCGCTGTGGCGAACCCAGATTATTAAAGGGACTAAGCCGACAAGAAAATGAATGAATGAATTGACTGACAGAAGAACGAGTTTAAGAACACTCATGTGTGTGCGCTCGCGTTGTGGATCAGGAGGAAAACCTTCACAGCTCTCATGTGCGCAGAACACAATCATTAGTGAATGAGACCCACTCTTCCTTTCTTTCTTCCTTTCTTTACCTTCTCGTCTCTTCAAGCATCGTCAGATTGTAGAAGCCAAAGAAGATCCATCAAGAACAAACACTGAAGCCGCTCTCGGCCCTTCGTCAAATCCAGACCTGCTCCTTCAGCACTTATCAAATCAGTTTTATGATTTTCTTGATTTCTGTTCATTAATTGTGACAATCATGCAATATTTTTATTTTTCAATGTGTTTACAAGAGGATGAACCCTGTGCGGCTGAACTGAGCTCTACCTCACACACTTTTCTACCATGCTGAATCAAACATTTCGAGGTGACGTTTTCATTTTTCACCCAATCACGGTGGAAGCGTGGCATGAAGGAGCTCCGAGGATTCAGCTTTATGGTGTACCTGTTTTGGGCAAAGTCACTTTATCGGTAACACGAGCGTTTACCTGTCCCACGGGAAGGATTAAGGGATGTATTTTTGTTTAGTTAGTCGTTTAGACGTGACATGCTGTGTAACATACCTGTATTAAGGCTGATCCAGGAACAGTCAACAATCATGTGTTTTCAGGACTGAAATGCTGAAACTCTTCATGCAGACTCCGCTTCCCTCGCCGCCGGATTGTTTACCTGGGAGAGAGCGATTGGATGGTTTTTGGGTCGTACAGTCTTAATCAACACGACATGAACACAAACGGACTTTGCTTTCTTGGTTTTAGCTGGTTAACACATGTACGAGGGAAACATGCAATTCATTTGATGTTGTAGAGGAAAGCTCTGTCTTCACGTCTCCTCTGCAGATGATGTATTTATATCTGATTGTTTCTTTATACAGAAAATAATAATAATTTATTCACATGGCATGCGTTGATAAATGTTGTATATACTGCTTAGATTTTCTTGATGTATTTGTACATAATGCCTTCTTTTTGACTTCTCTTTGTTTCCCAGTTTTTATGGGGATCCTGTGCAATAAATATGGCAACAATACAGATATACATGATGTTGATTGTGTATGCATTACAGCAGCTTTATCCCTCTCAGTCTGTGTCTGTATGTAAATGTATAACGGCTCGCAGGATGTCTAAAATAACAAATGTATGGTTTTATTTGAGGTGGGGATTTGAAGAGCGTTTCACCATACCTGACTGTTCACTAGAACCCTAAACAACAACAGCAAAGCTAAAGCAAAACGGGTTGTGTTTACATTTTGCGAAATACCTAGATATATGTCCCATTCTGCTCCTTATTACAAGCTGTAAATGCGTCTCTGCTGTGTCTATCTGAGCTATTTCAGCTCAAACTCAAACACACACTGTAATGTTCTCCAACTCCCTGACACTTTCAGGCTTTGATCCTAATTGTGTTTTGGTGACTGTCGCTTTAAATGCAAATGAGATTCAGAAGAGGGCGGAGCTACAGACGGCTGTGCATCACCATAGTGACAGATGTAAAACAGTAGTGTGTGTGTGTGTGTGTGTGTGTGTGTGTGTGTGTGTGTGTGTGTGTGTGTGTGTGTGTGTGTGTGTGTGTGTGTGTGTGTGTGTGTGTGATGCTTCTGTCAGTCTATGTGGCTGAGAAACTAGTGTACTCTACTAGTTTTGTTGGTGTACTCTAGTACACACTAGATTGTTCTATAGTTAAAACACTAGTTTCTTGGTGAACTCCAGTTCACACACTAATTTCTTAGTGTACTCGGGTACCCACACTACTTTGTCAATGTACAGTAGTTTCCCTGTGTTTTCTCGTGCACACACTAGTTTCTCAGTGTCCTCCACTAGTTCCTCTATGTTCTCTAGTATACACACTAGTTTGTCAGTGATTTAGTACACACACTATGTTGTCAGTGTACACTAGTTTCTCAGTGTGCTCTAGTATACACTAGTTTCTTAGTGTGCTCTAGTATACACTAGTTTCTCAGTGTGCTCTAGCACACACTAGTTCGTCTGTACTTCTTTAGTTTGTCAGGGTGCTTCAGTATACAGTCTGTCAGTAAACTTCTAGTTTCTCAGTGTGCTCTAGTACATATTAGTTTCTCAGTGTACTCTTTTTAGGCTGTCAATGTGCTCTAGTACACACTCTACGTTGTCAGTGTACACTAGTTTCTTAGTGTGCTCTAGCACACACTAGTTCGTCTGTACTTCTTTAATTTGTCAGGGTTTAGTATACAGTCTGTAAGTATACTTCTAGTATTTCAGTGTACTCCTTTAGGCTGTCAGTGTGCTCTAGTACACACTCTACGTTGCCAGTGTACACTAGTTTCTCAGTGTGCTCTAGTACACTGAATAGTTCCTCCGTGTTCTCTAGTACACACTGGTCTCCAACAGCAGCAGCAGCGGCGGCTCGTCATGTGAATGTTGTTGCGGCTCTTCTTCTTCAGTCATGGGCTTCTGCTACTGGACCCTTCAGCTCGGAGGATCATACGAGCCTCCGGTTATTAATGATGATTTACAGTCGCAGATGGAGAAGTGTCCGAGGAATGAAGGATTTGTTTTTGCCAACTTTCGCCGTTTGTGATTCGCGCTTGATTTTCAGCAGCGCTTGGACTCAACTTCTCATGCTAACTGAAGCTAACTCAAATCAATGCCAGATTTGTCCTGCTCCCCAAGCGCTTCGTGATGAAATTCACGTTTTATTTCATTCCATTTTTATATTTAACACCGTTTTAACGTCGCACTTGGATTTATGAAGTTTTTATTCCCGGAAACCATAGAGTTTAATATGAATTCCTCAGTGGATTTATCGCTGAAGAGAGCGCTGAAAACTCCTCCGACACGACGGACTGCTGAGGTAAAACACACACACACACACACACTCAATCACAAAATCGATCACAACACGTGGGAAAATTAGAAAACACACTTTTAAGACGTCAATTACACGCAGTAAATCTGATCGATCGGCACAATGAACTCTTGTTTGTTTCGATTCGGGAATCATACAGTTGTTCACGGCAGACTCATGATCGACTCGTGCGACTGTTTCATAAGGCTCACCACCCTTCAGCTGCACGTCTGCAGTTGTTTAATGTTGTGTTTTTGTGTCTGCAAGTGATTTGTTGTGTCTTTTATGAAGTTATTAGTGTAGTAGTTTGACAGATGTGCATCTGCTCCAGTCTGATTCTCAGCGCAGTAAGTTAGGGGTGCAGCAGTGTCAGATCAACACGTCCGTGTAAAACATCTGATATCAGCTTTATGTGTCAGCAGAAGTGTTTTATGAATTAGCAGAGATCAATATGAGTCTCACTTCTGCATTCCAGCTGTGCCGCCGGACACTTCGAGATGCGGGCTGTGTCTCAAATCTTACTGAGCGCCCTTACTAGACAGCATATTAGTCAGTGAATGCGAAGTGAAGTGTTGTGTATTTCTGGTGCGATTATTATTATTTTTAAATATGAAGATTAATTTACTGGCTGTGTGTTAGAATGAATGACGCTGTTAATACGGCCCCGTGCTGATGCACACTTCACAGGATGTCTCGCTCACTTGATCTTGATTTAAAGTGTTTATTCCTGGATTAATCTGGAGAAGGGCTGCTGTGTGACCTAAGAGAGCTCAAGTATCAGTTCAAAGTGTAAAGGTTGGCTTTATTGTAGGGCTCAGCAGAGGGATTGTTTCCTGTCCTCAGATTTTCAGTAAGAAATGATGATATACATGAAGTTTATTTGTGGAAAGAGAGTAAGAAATACAAAAGTAGCTAAATACATAAAATCCACATTTTTACATTAGTTAGAAATATATTTTAGTTTGAAATATTTGCAGCATCTTTATTACAATTAAAACGAGGAAAATAAGTAAGTTTTATAAGTTTTTTTTTTTACAAAAATATAAAGGATGCAAATATTGTTTTAATTTCTAAATGATGATTTTTTTGCAGTTACAATCAAATGTATATGACAAAATTTCAAATCAAAATATTAGTCATCTGAATATAAAGCTCTTCATCACGATACAGTGCATTTCCTGTAGATCCTTTAGTATTTTATCCTTTTAGCCTTTATATATTTATTTTATATGTAGATCATTTAATAATTGATATATATTGAGCACATAAAAAGGGCTGTTTCTCTTTACAATTTAAAGTATAAACTTATAAATGTGCTTATTCATATGTGATCATATTCCTCTCTGTTATTAGAACTTCAGGGCAAATGTTTTTATTTTATTTATTTAATTCTTTATTGAACAGGGGCGTTCATTCATTCATTCATTCATTCATTCAGCTTAGTCCCTGATCTATCAGGGGTTGCCACAGTGAAATGAACCGGCAACTATTGCAACATGTTTTACACAGCGGATACCTTTCCAGTCGCAACCCAGTACTGGGAAACACCTACACACACACACACACACACTCATCCACTACGGCCAGTGTAGTTGATCAGTTCCCCTATAGCGCATGTGTTTGGACTGTGGGGGAAACCGGAGCACCCGGAGGAAACCCACGCCAACACGGGGAGAACATGCAAACTCCACACAGAAACACCAACTGACCCATCCGAGACTCGAACCAGCAACCTTATCATCCCAGTGAACCTATAAATTATTTTTCAGGGATTTTCCAAGTGCTGTTTAGCAGAGCAAGAACATTTTTGCTGTATATACCATTAAGGTCAATATTATGAGCCTCCTTCAGAATTGTAGTTTTATGCAGAACAAACCACTGTTGTCCAATGACATGCCTAATTACCCTAATTAACCTAGTTAAGCCTTTAAATGACACTTTAAGATCAATACTAGTGTCTTGTTATATGTAATGTACTGTCGTCCTGGCAAAGACGAAATAAATTAGTTACTGAAACTGTTATATTGTTAAATGTGTTGATAAATGCTCTCTGATTGGAAAATACATCTTACGAATAATGAAAAGTTCACAGCAGGATCAATAATTTAGTCTAATGCACATGGTCATATTGCACCACTAATGCAATGCAGAAACAAGACATTTGAGCTCTGTCATTGACTAATGGTAAAGCAAGTGTGTGTGTGTGTGTGTGTGTGTGTGTGTGTTTACAGTGCATTGCTCCAGGTGTGGGTGGTTTCTCAGAAAAAGCTGCTGATCAGACTAACAAACAAACTGCAGTGGCTCTGATAGTCGGGTTAGAGACTGGTCCTGATGGGTGTGTGTGTTGTGTGTGTGTGTGTGTGTTACGTAAGAAAGCAAAGCAAATGCTCCGATACTCTCGATTTCCATAGCATTGCACCGCCCGCTCTGGCTGATGATGACAAGAGTTACGTCAGATCCAAAGACACTCCAAACACAGGAAAATAATCAGCACATTCAGAAAGCCATGAAAGAGCCCCTATTCTGCATCATAAAAGCTCTTATTTTGGTTTTGAGGAAACCGACGACACACAAAGCCTAAAGAGCCGACAGTTCATTCATAAATCTAACTACGGCCGCCTTAGCCAAAGGGAGTCACTGTGAGTTTGTTAGTTTAGCAGTTTTATTTTTAGTTTAACAGGTTAGTGTGGATTTTCTCCATCCAGAAAGTTTTTATTCAGGAGTAGAGACGCAACCATTACAGATCTTGGTTGTTTGATTATTGTCTGAGAAATGATCACGGTTATCTCGATTATTATGCATGCATTTATTTAAAATTACACGCAAACTGCTTCCATATGAAAGTGTTATACTCAGTAACCAAATAATAATAACAAGCTTTTGATTTTAGACAGAAGTAATAATTTTACACAGAAAATAAACAGCAGAACAGTGATTGAATAAATAAATATATTGAATTTGTCTACTGTAAATCTAAGCTATATGTCAGCTAAGTATTTAAAGGAACTGTTGTTTTCATCTTTATATACATAATCATTTTAAAATGTGTAATAATTCATCTAGCATATTTTGTTTCCTTTGCACGCTCAACTCTCACCGCTACAGCATGAGATGTGTGCAACTGGGTGCGCCTGGAAGGCACGAGCATATATAACAAGCTTGTGCAGGGAAGAGACTCAATATGTGAATGTCCCGCTGCTGCTAGGTGTCTCAGCCATGGTTAATCCTGTGTGCGTGTGTATTAGCCTTGCTGTATAAACTCGGAACTAGCGCACAGTTGGTATAACTTAGTTATTTACTTAGTTTAGTTGCAGCGATTTCATTCTGTACATCAGAAGCGCAGTGTTGAGAAGCCTTTACGATTAATTAACCATGACAAATTAAATCTCCGTTAATAGTGAAATCGGTTAATCGTGCATCCCTATTCAGGAGGTTCTGATGTGTGTGTGCATTAAAGCATCAGAACATTCATTCATTCATTTTCCTACAGCTTAATCCCTTTATTCATCAGCGGTCATCACAGTGCAATGAACCACCAACTTATCCAGCATACGTTTTACACTGCGGATCCCCTTCCAGCTGCAACCCAGTACTAGGAAACACATACACACTAATTCTCTCTCACACACACACACACACTCATACACAACAGCCAATGTAGTTGATCAGTTCCCCTAAAGCGCATGTGTTTGGACTGAAACCGGAGCACCCGCAGGAAACCCACGCCAACACGGGGAGAACATGCAAACTCCACACAGACACACCAACTGACCCAGCCGAGACTCGAACCTGCAACATTTATGCTGTGAGGCCACAGTGCTGACCGCTGGGCCACCGTGCCGCCAGCATTAAAGCAGTGAAAGTGTAATAAAGCTTTGTTGTTGTTTACATGATCATATATAATTTGATTTATTATCATATTTATGGTGATTATGTTTTAGTGTGTCCTGCTTAATTGATTTTAAAGTATAGGCAAGGCAAGGCAAGTTTATTTATATAGCACATTTCATACACAGTGGCAATTCAAAGTGCTTTACATAAACAAGAATAAAAGAAACAAGTAAAATAAAAATAAAAACAAATAATAAAAATGCGTCAAAACAAAACAAAACAAAACATAAAAACAGGTCAAATGTGATATAAAAGAATGATTATAATGCAATTTGTCGGACGCAGCACAGTGCTCATTCAGTAAAGGCACAGCTAAACAGATGTGTAGAACAGTAGTCTCTATGTCCAAATAATCTTGCCAGTCGTATTTAGAAAAAAATCATCATTTGCTGACATATTACAAGGATTTTCTAAGACTCACAGTTTGGCCCCAAAATAGTAATTCATTTGAAACGTAAAATAACAATAATACTAATGATTTGTTCATCTATCAGCAGGGGGACTTTTGCATTCTCTTAAACAGATGACAACATCATCAGAATAATCCCGTTTCACATTGAACATATTTGAGTTTGGGCCACTAAATGCTGTATAATCAGTAGCCAAACACTTCCTTCCTCTATTGCTTCTAATAAAGGACGCTGCCGTGTGAAGATGCTGTAGGATAGCAAATCAAAAAGAAATCAAAAACTGTGACTGAACTTGCAGAAAACCTGTAGGATGTGACTGTAATGAGACTGGAGGTGTTGAATCTGACTGTAGACACAGAGACTGACTGCTGTCCTCTTGCTGTCTGCAGGGATGTTCAGGAACTCCATCAGTTATTCTCTTTGAGTGCCACTAACCCGCTGCGCATCACGCTTCATGTGTAAGTGCAGCAGTGCAGCTGTAGTGAGTGTCTGATGTTCAATAGTCTCCTCTACTTTACTGGCTCAGTCTAAAGCAGATCTGCAATGACTGAAATGCAGTTCATCATGTGATGGACACCTATGGCTGCAACATATCACTGAATGTCCACTAACTCAGTGTCAGGCCTGTTGTTTGGCTACACTGAATGTGTGACCTCTTGTTTCCAGTGTAAAGATGCTGATATTCAGTAGACACCGATTCCACCA